GAGTAGCCCTTTGAGAGCATCCGTCTAGTGCTCCTCAGTTTCCAAGGGAGGAAACTGAGGCAGAGGGGCTGAGTGAATTGCCCAGGAGATGATGTGCCTCAAGATGACTGTGAGTCATCAAAGCTATGGGTCACCCACTCAACCACACCTAGGGAAAACCTGCTATATTCGATCCTGCTAACTAAGGTGGAAAAAAAAAACCATGATTTGATGGAAAAAATTCTTTTCATGACAAATGATTACATAAAAAGGTTCTCTGTATAAAGAAGTAAGCTTCTGAGTCTTGCCAAAATCAACGACGTAGAATAGCTTATTTCCCCCCAAATGTCAGTAAAATGAGGTATTACTGGTCTACATGTCACACAGGAAGAAAGTTTAGGGACTTAATTCCGGGAGGTGGCACTGGATGAAAACAGACGCAGGCTGTTGATTTGGATTGGGTAAGTGCACAGATTATTCGACCATAATAAGGTATTCAAGGAAATGGGATTGGGGGAGGGAGAGGACCTTTCTCTCTCTCACTGATGCTGCCTTCAGGCAAGGAGGAGCCACCATGCTAGCCTCCCAGAATGATGCCAGAAGGTAGACACAGGGCTGCAGGGACACGACGTACCCTGCGGAGCACCTTCCTAGCCTCTGGCTGAGCACATGGTTTATGGGGTCTGTCGGGGCATCTGTCTTCCCAGCGCTATTTGCAAGGACCTCCTTGAGTGGCCAGCAGGGCAGTGCAGGCCCAAGATCACTTGGATTGTGCTCCACTCACACCCCTACCTCTACACCTCTGCACAGTGGGTGCTTGGACTACACGATTATGTCCCTCCCAAAGTCATATGTTGAAGCCCAGTGTGATGGGTTCTGGCGGTTAGGGCCTTTAGGGGGTAATTAGGTCATGAAGGTGGTGCCCTTATGAGAGACACGATCTCTCTCCCGGCCTTGTGAGGACACAGCATGAGGGCTCAGTCATCTACGGACCAGTTAGAGAGCCTTCACCAGGAACCAAACCGGCCGGCACCTTGGTCTTGAACTTCCCAGCCTCGAGCTTCTGAGAAGTAGATGTCTATTGCTCAAGCCTTCCCAGCCGGTGGTGTTCTGTTACGGCAGCCCGGGCTGACTGAGTCAGCCGGGAAGTCATTTCGCCTCTGGTAGCAGCAATCACCGCTCCCAAAAAATGTGGATGGTGGCACTCTGTCTCCTTCCTGCCCGCCGCCCTCCTGCCCTCCCGCCCATCTCTCCGTGGAAATCAGGAATACGAGCAGCAGCCACAAAAGACCCCGAGGCGTCCCGAGCTCTAAACAAATACACTTTTTATAAAGAGCCCTGTACAGTTACCATCACCATGGTTACCACAGGACCACCCCCCTCTAGAGAGGATGACAAACTGGAGATCAAGTAGGGGACAGTGACACTCGTACTATGGAAGTCTGGACTTTGTTAACAAATCTTTACTAATTACTAATAAGTCAATGAGCATGAACGGTAAGTACCATTAAATGTATCCGCTTCAGCTTGGGGTTGGGGGAGTCCCTCAAGTGGAGTTGATGATCATGATCACAGCCACAACAACCCCAGTCACCTTCACAGTGTCACCATCACCATCACCACCAGAGTCACTGTCACCACCATAGTCACATCACTGTCACCATCACAACCATAATCACAGTCTCCCTCATAGTCACCGTCACCATCATTGTCACAACCAGTCACATCACTGTCACTAGCACAACCATAATCATAGTCACTGTCACCATCACAGTCACCGTCACAACCATAGTCATTGTCATCATCACAAACATAATCACAGCCACCACCAGAGTCACCTTCACAATCACCATCACAATTGCCATCACCATCATAGTCACTGTCACCATCACAGTCACCATCACAACCAGAGTCACCATTTCTGTCACTATCACAACCATAATCACAGTCACTGTCACCATCACAGTCACCACCAGAGTCACCTTCACAATCACCATCACAGTCGCCATCACCATCATAGTCACTGTCACCATCACATTCACTATCACAGTCACTGTCACCATCACAGTCGCCATCACAACCATAGTAACATCACTGTCACCATCACAAACATAATCACAGTCACCATCACAACCAGAGTCACAGTCGGAATCACGACCACAATCACAGACACAACCACAGTCACCGTCACAGTCACAGCCCTGAGCACAGCCACAGTCTGCAGCTCCATCCACATCCTGGTGACAATCCTGGCTGCAGCCCACACGTGTGGAGCCCTGCACTTGCTGTCGGGCTGGTCCGGGAGCCGGCGCGCTGGGTCTTCACCAGGGGGCTGCGGCCGCGATGGCAGAGACACTGTGACAAGTCTCTCTTCGTGGGGAAGACTGGGGAAGAGGGGTGCAGAGCGGAGCCTGACCCATGACTGCACGAAGTCGCCCTTCACGCGCACGTCTGCGCCCCAACGCCCAGCACAGAGCTTGACACGTGGGAGGCGCGGGAAACATGCTTGCTGAGCCATCAGCGAGGGGCCCGGCCAGCGCATCGGCACTCGAGGAACAGGGACTTCCTGATGTCCAGAAGCAGGTCCCAGCTCCGGGCTAGCGGGTCTAACTCGACTCTGCACCCGCGAACATTTGTTTCCCGTGAATCCTTCACCCGCCTACAGCCTCAGTGCAGGTCATGCTGGCCTCGCTCGAGGACTCGGATGGTCCTTGGCAGCATCAAAATTCCATAATCTGTCACACACACACACACACACACACCCGTCTCCTGGCTCCGGAGCGGGAATCAGCCCTTTTCAACGGGAGCCAAGGACCCTCCCTGGGCTGGGTGCCCTCACCCTGGATCCAAAGGACTCAGGAGACAGCTGTCTCCTGCCTGGGCCCCCTCGGCTAAGATCTGATTTTCTCATCATCTGGATAGTCTCAGCGACTCACAGCAAAGGGATGAACCGGGCTGACCTTTCTGGAGGTTTGTTTAAAGCGGAACAATGTTTCTCTTCTCCAAACACTATGAATTACTCCAAAGAATCCTGCCCAGCTTTACAATCCACAGCTACAAACGGCTTACATAAACAGGGACTCATCCCCTCCTCTACCCCCCCAGCCCCATTTTTAACAGCTTCTCCTACCCCCTCTCCCACTTTCTTCCACTCTTCCAGCCCTTCCCCCCGCCCCCCTCCTGCCTCCGCTCCTCTGAACCCCAGCCTGGTGGAAGGGGCAGGTGCTGGGGGTTCTGGGCTACAGCTCACACCTGGGTTATTGCTGGCACGGAACCCCTATAGTGGGCAGGCTGCTCAGTCCCTGGTGTGGACGGGGTTTGCCTTGCTAAGGGGGTAGGGGGTCTCTGGGCGTGGGGGGCCTGCGGTGCAGTGTTAGGTCCAGCTGTGAAAGCGCGTTGGTAACAAAAGGCCCCTAGGTTTGGGGGTTCAACGTCCAGTCGGTCTGCAGCGCACCTCGACCACCCTCAGCTGGTGGGGTGCCCAGCTCACCCACAGCCTTTCCCTCACAGGTTGCACATTCAGGGGATCCCCAGGTATCCCCTAGAAGTAGACCCCCCCCCACCTCGGGCCTCCAGTGGGGGCAGTTAAGGCTTACTGCCGATCAAATATGAAGCACAGGGTCCTGGGAAGGGAGTGGCAGCTGGGGACAGAGCCCCGTTTCCCCAGCTATGTCCCTAAAAATAGTCCCTATGCCACCTGCATCATTAAATGCTTCGGGAAGCTTGTTTAAAATGCAGATTTCTGGGCTCCTCCTCAGGCCAAGGGAAGTCCTCTCTGGGGGATCCGGCCCAGGGCCGATGCCAGAGTCTGAGAAATCCACTGTAATCGGGGTCCTCTGACCAACTAGCTGGATGACCCGGGCCAGACCGGCCAGCACTCATCACCATTGGCAAGGGGGCCGCAGGTGCCCTTTGAAAGGTCCCTTCCAGCCGCTGCGTGGTGCGCTTTCGAGGAGAGCTGGGTACTTGAACCCAGAAACAGCAAGGGTGGGTGGAAGCAGCCCGAGGAAAAGTTTGGGGAGGAGTCACTGAGACTCCAGGCAGAGGGGCTGGTAAAGACTTGGCCTGACGTCAGCTGGTTGGGGGCTGGGGGCGTGAGGGGTGTATGGGATCCTTCTTCGGAGGGTCCCCACTTTCATCTTTGCTTTGCAGACAAGGAAACCGAGTCTGAGAAGGGAAGAGCGACTTCCGCTCAGAAAGAGGGTCAGGAGGCTTGAGATCCATCCCCGATAAGCCCCGGGACACGCATCCAGCGATTCCAGGAAGGCCCTTCCCCCTCCACCCTGGTCTTTCCAGCGTCTCCACCGAGCCGAGGTTGGATCTGAAGAAGCGTCGCGGCTCCTGCGCCTCCAGGCGGACCCCAGGCGAGCGCCCGCGGCAGGAAAATCAAGCGCCTGGAGCGTCGCCCCGGGGAGAGCCGAGCCGGCCCTGCCCAGCCCGAGCCTCCGCGGCCGCGCTGGGGGCGCTGTCGGGGCGCGGCCCGCCCGGCGAGGGGGCGGCTGCGGCGCGCTGTCCGGCGTCGCCAGAGGGCAGCGCGCGCCGCCGCCGCGGAAAGGCCCCCGCTTTCAGGCCTCGAAGACCGTGGGTGCCCAACACTCGCGGCGACCTCGGGCCCAGAAGGGGTCACAGGACGAAGCCGCTGGAAGTCAGCAGATGCACCCGGGCAGACCCTCGGGTGCGCGCAAGGAGCGGCGAGCTGGAGGCCGAGGCCGGCACGGCGCCCCCTCTCCAGGCCCCCGGGGCTAAAGAGCTGGTCCCGCGGGGAACCCAGAACGGAGCGTCTGGGGGGGGGGTCGGGATTGCACCAGCAGGCCGTGTTCCTACCATCTCGGGCTTGCGCGCTGGATTCCATTTACAGTTCGGGCGATCCAGAAGCCTGCTGCGTGACCTGGGGCGCGCCACGGGCGCCCCCGGGCCGCGGGCCCTCCTCCCGGGCTTTGGGGCGGATGCATCCCGAGGCCCCGCTCCAACGTCCGCGCCTCGAATTAGCAGCGCCTCCTTCTAGTTTAGCATTTGATTTTCTAATCAAGCTCTTTGTCCCCCGCGGCCTTAACCCGAGCCCCCGGCTTCCCCGTCTCCCCTCGACCGCGCCCGGGTCTCGCCCTCGCCCGGCTTCCCCGTCGAAGGCCCTCGAGGGAGATGCCCGGGAGCCCAGGCCGAGGCCGGCGGGTCCGCGGCGCGGGCCGGGGCGGTGTGGAAACGGCCGGGGAAGCCGGCGGGCGCGGCGGCGATTTATTCTGGGAGTGACAGCCCCTTTGAGCGCTCGGCGAATGGCATTTTCTGTCTGTGAAAGCCTTTCTTCCCACCTCTGTTCAGATTAGCCCGGGGGATGAATGCGCCCATTATCCAGCCCGCTGACCATTCTGAAACGCCAAATTAATTACTAAGCACTGAATCGGGCGCCGGGGCCGGGGCACCGGGAGGTGTGAAAATAGCGAGCGGCTGGAGATGGGGAAGGCGAGGGGCGCAGCGCCGAGAGGCCGGGCGGGGTGGCCCGGGGCGCGGGCGCGGGCGCGGCGGGGCCCGGGAGGGCTTGGCCGGCGGCCGAGCGCGACCTGCCGGCGTGACCCGGCGCGGCCGCGGGGCGAGCGGGCCGCAGGGGCCGGGCGGCCGGGGGGGTGCGGGGGGGGGCGCGGGGCGGGGGTCGCGGCTCCGGCCGGCTCGGGGCTCGCCCGGGGCCCGCGGGCAGAGCGCGCCAAGTGCGCGGGGCGCGGGGCGGAGGCTCGGCCGGGCGCCGGGCGCGGGGGCGGGTCCCCGAGGCGGCGCGGGGTCGGGGGGCCCCCGGACCGCCCCAGCCCGCCGCTCCCCGCGCCCGTCCCCGCCGCGGCGCGGCGCCGCTCCCGCTGCCCTCCGAGGCCTCCCCCAAACTTGGGCGCCGCCCCCCGCCCCGACCGCAGCGCCGGCCGGGGCTCCTCGAGCGCGGGGCCGCCCCCCCACCCTGGGGCCCCGACTCCGGCTGGGCGCACGGCACTTACCTCCCGAGGCGCCGGGCGGGAGAGGGAGGCGAGCTCTCGGCGGCTCCCGCTGGAGTGCGAGGGGCGCGGAGGAGCGCGCGCCTTTAAGACTCTTCCCCAAGACTCCGCCAGGTGGTGTCAGGCCGGCCGGGCGCCGGCGGCTCCTCAACCCCGCGGCCACCCTGCTGCCGGCCCGCCCCGGGCCCGGCCCCGGCCGCGCACCCCCGCTCCGCGCCCTGCGGGGCCCGCCGCCGCCGCGCGCAGCCCGGGGCACGCGAGGGCCGGTGGGGGCAGCTGGGGACCCCCGGGTGCCCCAGAGGGAGCCGCTCATCCTACGCACTCTAGCTTAGGACGGCCTGGGGGGCGGCGAGAGCTATTTTTGGACCGGGTGCTAGGGCCGCGCCGGGGGAGGAGAGGGTTGGAAAGTCCTGTCCAAGGACGTGCGACTCCGTCCCCCACTGTCATCACCTCGGGACGCGCCTTGGGTCCGCGGGAAACCGGTCCTGTCGCCCTTGATCCAAGATGGCGAGCTGACACGCCTCCCCCAGTCACCGCGGACAGGACCCGGGGCGATAAAACAGAGGCAGAGCGTCGCCACTTAAAACCAAGGGGGGGGGGGGAGAGTGTCACTCACACTCCTGAAACAGAAAAGTTTAAGAGGACCCGAGGGAAGGCTGAAGGCACCTCAGCTCCTCCGGCGAGAAGCGGGGCTCGGCCTGGAAAGAGCCTCGAGCGATTCTCCTGTGTTGGCTCCTCCAAGTTCACGGTCGTGGCTGCGTTCGCGCGCGGCCCGGCACCTCAGGGACCCCGCGCCGAGCTCCCCGCGCTGCGGGCCAGGCTGGCAGGCACCAACCACCACCGTAGCTCCAGGCCATGATCAAAATGGTAAATCATGTGTCTTCCCTTTCAAAAAACTTATTTTTTGACATTTATATTGGGATTTCAAGCTGCATTAATAATTAACTCAGGTGTCCTGTTTTCACTGTTTACTATTTCTTTTATGCCAACGCCTTCCCCGTTCCTGAGTTTCCTACGGTCGTTTCTGGCAGGACTGAGATGTTGCTCTGAGGAAGCCTGGAGGAAGGACAGGTGGATGGTGGACTTTCTGAGTCTCTACGGGTCCGACGATGTCTCTCTGTTCACATCTCTGCAGACACGAGGTAGACATAGGATCCTTTAGGATACAGCAGCCATAACCCTTTATTGACACGTCCAATTTTGCAGGTTAGGGACCTTGTGAAGCAATAAACAGGGAAGTGAAGGGGGAAAACTTGCTTTGCTTTATGGCTAAGGCAACTAGCGCCTACCCAAACCTAACCGTGTAGTCACTAGCTATTGATTCATTGTCTTCTCATTTTTTTAAAAATATTTTTATTTATTTCTAGGAGAGAGAGGGAGAGAGAGAGAGACAGCGTGAGCAGAGGAGGGTCAGAGAGAGAGGGAGTCACAGACTGAAACAGGCTCCGGGCTCTGAGCTGGCAGTCAGCACAGTGCCCGACGCGGGGCTCGAACCCACGAACCGCGAGATCATGACCTAAGCGAAAGTCGGACGCTTAACCGACTAAGCCACCCAGGCGCCCCTGTCTTCTCATTTTTAAGGCTGCAAAACCTTCTCCCAGGTTTCAGAGAATAACATCATTCAGACCTCTCTCTCTCTCTGTCTTAGGCCACCTGGCTTTAGTGTTCTTCACTTTCTTGAAAGAAAAAGCAAACATATGGTTTCTCTTGCTGCATCCTTTACCGATTACTGTTATTGCCCTTGGGTTACTCCCTTCTGCGCTCAGTTTCATCGCTTCTGCTGTAAAAGGAACAGATGGGACTCTGTCTGGGAGCCTCTTAGCGTGCGATTGAAAACCACGTGAGCCACCACAAGGAGGCAGCATTGCACACCAAGTGGGATGACTAATGGAAAAGGCCGGCAATAACAAGTGTTGGCGAAGACGTCAAGAAATTGGAACCTTTGTGCGTTCCTGATGGGGATAGGGGAAAAAATGGTGTGGCCGTTGGAAAATAGCCTGGCAATTCCTCAAAAGGTTAAACATTCAGTTGTCATATGACCTAGAAATTCTACTCTTAGATATATACCCAAGAGCGATGAAAACCTAAGTCCACACCAAAACGTGTCCCCAAATATTTATAGTAGCCGTTACTCACAATAACCCAAATGGCCATTAGCTGATGGAGGGATAAACAAAATGCAGCATATTCATATAACGGAATGTTTTTCAGCCATAGAAAGGAATGAAGGATCCATACTACAAACTGATGGACCTTGGTAACGGTATGTTAAGTGAAAGAAACCAGTTACCAAGGGCCATGTGTTCTAGGGTTCCATTTGCTAGGATATGTCCAGAGGGACAAATCCTTACAGACAGAAAGGCGATTGGTGGTTGTTTAGGGGTGGGGGCTGGGGGCTCTGGGGAATGAATGGAAAGAGGAATAAGCTTTCTTTTGAGGGGGATGAAGTCTGCTGGTGGTTGCAGACACCCTGTGAAAATACTAAAAACTGTCATACACTTTAAAGAGTTTTTTTTAAGTTTATTTATATTTGAGAGAGACAGAGACAGCATGAGCAGGAGAAGGGGCCGAGAGAGAGAGAGAGAGAGAGAGAGAGAGGAGATCTCAGGCCGACTCCGTGCTAACAGTGCAAAGGCCAACGCTGAGCTCGAGCCTCATAAAACCGTGAGATCGTGAAACCGAGGAGATGGACGCTTAACTGCCTGAGCCCCCCAGATGCCCCTGGAAAACCATTACGCACTTTAAACGGATGAATGGATAGTATGCAAATTAGGCCTCAATTACAGGTGGTACACAGAAAGTATGTACTGAGCACACAGTACATATCAGGTGCTGGGCTAAGAACTGGTGATGCAGAAGTGAACGAGGAAATGTGGTCTCTTTTTGGGCATAATTGGGGGGGGGATTAGCTATTTCAGGGGCCCAGGATCTGCCAAAAGAATGAAACAGCCGCCTTGTGCTACGCACAAAGATGTCCAGAGCCCTTGCAAAGTCAACACTAGGGGATTAATATCCTGTTCTTCTTCCTCTTTTCCTTGGCAATCCTCCCGCCCTGAGAGACGTGGCTACGGTAGCCTTGCAGACTCCGTGGACTTTGACTCTCAGAATAGTGTCTCCCCAGAGAGCAGCCACTGGCAGGGCCGTGGCATGGTGATTGGAAGCAATGGTGGCACCAGATGTCCAGGGTCAATCCCAGCCCTGGCTCTGGCCAGATCCTCGGACATAATCAAGACACTTAACCTTCTCCGTGCCTGCTTCTCTATGCGCAAAACGGGGATCACAGTTCCTACGCCATGAGGAGAGAATGAGTTAACATTTAGGAAATGGTAGCATGCAGTAGGCGCTCCATAAGTGTTAGCTGATAGTATTGCTCGCTCAGTTATTGTGAGCCATCCCACAAGTGCTAGACCTCGTTCACAGACCTGCTATTTTTTCATGTCCCACTAGGTGGCGGAGACGAACCACCTGGAGTGGTTAACCCTGGGCTTCGATAAACCAAGCAAACAGTTTGCTCCTGCTGTGTTTGCGCCTTTATCTGTGAGCTACGCATAGCGGCATAATGCAGCAACTTTCTCTAGTCCCTGGGAAAAGTCTTCTCCAGTCTAGAGAATCCAGTGCATGCGTACAAACGAAGTGCATGGTCTTGGGTAAGATGTTGGCGACATGCCTAAGCTCATGTCCCGCCATCAAACGAAGGATATGAAGCATCCTCCCCCTTATTAATACAAATATTTCGTAACACCCTCCCTTATCATCCTGAAGTGAAATTTATAATGATATAGTTTCCACACACACACAGCTTCCTCTCCCAGCGTAAGACCCCGAGACCAACATGAGGAAGAAATAGAAATGAAGTCACGTGTAGTAAAATAACTTGCATTTCGACCTGTCGGTGTTTGGACACAGCCACGTTGAATGACACGGTGGAAGAATTTGAATGCTGCGGTCTCAGAGTAGACTTACCAGGAAACAGGGAACAAAGGCAGTCTGGGAGAGGTGTGTAGCTCCGGTAACTCAAACAGCCTTGAGCGACAGACTCCCCGGGCAATGTGATTTTCCAAAGCGATCAGTGTGTTTTGATCGAGTTGCCTTCCTGGAAATGTTAGTGTCTGTTAAAACGCTTAACCAGCTGAGCCACCCTGGTGCCCCTCCACTTTCTAAAATGTTTTTATTTATATTTGGAAAAGAAAGACAGAGCACAAGCAGGGGAGGGGCAGAGAGAGAGGGAGGCATAGAATCGGAAGCAGGCTCCAGGCTCCGAGCTGTCAGCACAGAGCTGACGCGGGGCTGGAACCCACCCACGAGCGGTAAGATCATGACCCGAACCGAAGTCGGATGCTTAACCAATAGTGTATGTTGCAGCGGTGCATCATGACAAAATAAAGCAAATCCTTTGTGTTCGTTGGCAAAATACAACTGGGCTCTGGGCTTGGATGGTTTTTGTTTTCATCTTTACAAATGTTCCGTGGGACTCTTAAAAGTTGGGGGGCGCCTGGGTGGCTTAGTCGGTTAAGCGTCTGACTTTCGCTTGGGTCATGATCTCGCGGTTCGTGGGTTCGAGCCCCGCGTCGGGCTCTGTGCTGACTGCCAGCTCGGAGCCTGGAGCCTGTTTCGGAGTCTGTGACTCCTTCTCTCTCTGACCCTCTCCTGCTCACGCTGTCTCTCTCTCTCTCTCTCCTAGAAATAAATAAAACATTAAAAGAAAATTTAAAAAAAAAGTTGGATGTGACTGTCCCCTGTGTACATTGCAAATGTCCGGTACCTGTGGTCCCTGGTTACCAGCGAGTAGTAGTGTCCCCCATCCCCGTGACGGCCCAAACTGCTTCACCACAAGCCTTCAGCTGGACAATAACATCTGCCTGGAGAACCATTGATCCGGGGTCAAAATTGCTTTGGGCATTTCTGGCAAAGCTGACCCTCAGTCTGCCTGGGGCTTAACCTGTAAAAGGCATTTGCTTTCCTCTAGTCCCTGCAAATCCATTTGTCTGGGACAAGAGCTGGGACTCGGAGAGAGTTCCAGAAATTGGGAGGCTGTGGGATGGGGCCTTTCTCTCCCGGGACCTCCGTACACGGAGCTTTTTGTCCTGAAAAGCGGGGGGGGGGGGGGGCAGCTGAGGGAGGCTGGCCTCATCTGCCAATCTCAGGCGCAGCCCAGTGGTCTTTCTGAGCTTTTCCTAAAACCCAGCTGGGAAGTAAATCAGCACAGACGTAATCCTGATTTTAGCCCCAGGGGCCAGGGCCTCGGAGCAAACCCCCGGCTTACGAGAATTTCCTGCTGTACATTTGCTTAGCTTGTCAGTCTCCAGCTATCCCAGCTCAGGGAGGGGGCCAGCCAGGCCAGAGCGCGTTGCGACAAAGTTTTGACATGTTGGCGTGTACGAGCTTGCTCCCTGGGCTCCATCAATTATGTCCACCTCCACCTGCTAGGGTTTTTTTTTTTTCCGGTCCGTGCAGCTGGCCTCTCCTTCCTCCTGATAGTGATGGCACCTCTCCCCCTCCCCCTCCTCCCCCCAACTCTCAGCTTGTTTGTCTCGAGAGGCAGGTATGACATGACCCAATCTCCCCGCTGGTATTTCTGGAATCCAGCTAGTTTAGCAAAGCCAGACTGGATCTCTCCCGAGCAGGGCGGCCGTTTCCACCCCTTCTGCCAATTGGTATCTTGGGGCCAGCTGGTCAGCGACAACACAGGTTTTGACACCTCCAGAATTTCCTTGCAGACTCTCTGGTCTAAAAAAGGCCAGCCAAAGGGTACAGAGTGCTTCCGGCCCTCAAACAAAGGAGTCAGAAGCCTTTAACTCGCTGTACTTCCGCTCTTCGGACAGCAGCCCAAATGTCTTCGCACTCAGACATCCAGACACCTGCGGCTGTAAGCCCACGTGGCTTATCTAGTGCACAGACCTGTATTAACCGCCTCCTGTATGCCATGTACTATGGTATAGTGGGAACTGGCACACACAGTCCCTGTTATCAGAGGTGGAAAAGACAGACACTAACACAGCTATGTGGCTGCAGCTAGGGCGAGCGTTACAAGAAATATGGAAACCAGGTAGGGTGAGTGGAGTCGGGGCAGGGGAGGTGGGGAGGGGGCTGGGGGGGCGGCTGGGACTCCGGCGTCACAGGCATCACCGAGGGAGTGACCTTCATGTTGCGACTTGATCGGTGAGGTGACAGTCAGGTGAAGAGAGCAGGGAAGAGACTTCCCAGTGGTGAGAACAGCACAGGTAAAGTCCCGATCCCAGGAGGCAGCTTGATGCCGTCAAGAAGTTATGACAGTCAACATTCCTTGATCCCGCACTGTGGGCCCGGCCTGGTCTAAGAGCTTTATGGGAATCAGGTCGACCGTTCACAGTGGTATAAAATAAGGTACTTTAAGCCCTGTTTTACAAACGAGGAAACTGGGGCACGGAGAGGTGAAGTAATTGTCCCCAAGTCCCCAGCAGCAAAGTGACAGGGCAGCCATTGGCTCCAAATCGTCTTACTCCAGAGGCTGGCTTGCATCTTCTTTCTATTTTGTTTTGCTTTGTTTTTTTTTAATTTTTCCCTCTAGCTTTATCGGAATATAACTGACATACAACACGGTATAAGTTTAAGGTGTACCATGCAATGCTTTGATACACATATATATTGCAGAAATGATTACAATAAAGTGAATTATCACATCTTTGACCTCACATAGTTACTGTTTTGCGGTGGTTGTTACTAAAGTGAGAACAGCAGACGGTCTGGTCCTGTAGCAACTTCCAAGCACATGATACAAGGTTGTTACATGATAGGCATTAGGCTGCACCTTAGATCCAAGGAACTTACTCATCCAATAATGGAAACTTTGTACCCTTGGACCCACATCTCTCCGTTTCCCCATCCCCTGCCCCCTGGCAACCACCTGCTCTATTCTCTGTATCTGTGAGTTTGATGCTTTTAGATTCCACGTGCAGGTGAGATGATACAGTATTGGTTTTTCTCTGTCTGATGTGTCTCCCCTGACATAATGGCCTCTTGGCCCATCCATGTTGTCGCAAATGGCAAGATCGCCTTTTTTTATGGCTGAATAACAGTCCATTGTATTTATAGACCACGCTTTATTTAATCCATGTATCTGTCGGTGGCTGCAGTCGTTATTTCTATGTCTTTGCCCTTGTGAATTACACTGCAGTGAACATGGCGATGCGTATATCCCTTTGAGCTAGTGATTTCCTTTCCTTTGGATATAGCCCTAGAAGTGAGGTTACTGGGTCATAGGGTAGTTCTATTTTTAATTAAAAAAACTTTTTTTATGTTTTCATTTATTTCAGAGAGAGAGACAGCATGAGCAGGGAAGGGTCAGAGAGAGAGAGGGAGACACAGAATCTGAAACAGGCTCCAGGCGCTGAGCTGTCAGCACAGAGCCCGACGCGGGGCTTGAACCCATGAACCGTGAGATCATGACCTGAGCCAAAGTCAGACGCTTAATCGACTGAGCCACCCAGGCGTCCCTCTATTTTTAATTTTTTTGAGGAACCTCCATACTCCTTTCCACAGTGGCTGCGCTAATCTACATTCCCACCGATGGTGCCCATCCTTGGCTAGAATTTATTCCCTTTTCTGCTTTTCTATTAAAAGCCATGCTAACAGGTTAGCATGACATTGTTTATGGTTTTTTTTAAAGAAATTTTTAAAGTTTATTTATTTATTTTGAGAGGGAGAGTGAGAAAAGAAGGGGCTAGGGGGGGATCCCAAGCAGAGCCAGTGCAGAGCCCAGTGCAGGACTTGAACCCACCAACCATGAGATCATGACCTGAGCTAAAGCGGGGAGCCGGATGCTCACCTGACTGAGCCACCCAGGCACCCCAAGGTTTTATTTTTGAGTAATCTTTACACCCAGAGTGGGGTTCAAACTCACAACCCAGAGGTCAAGAGCTGCACACTCCTTTGACTAAGCCAGCTAGGTGCCCCCTGGCTGCGAGCGAGCTTTTGAAGTGCACTTCCTTATGATTAGTGATGCTGAGCAGCTTGGCATGTACTCGGACTGTTGCACGTCTCCTCTGGAGAAATGTCTTTTCAAGTCCTCTGCCTATTTTTACATGATTGTTTATTTTTTCTATTTCATTATATGAGTCTTTTTTAAAAAATTTTTATAGTTTTTATTTTATTTTTGAGACAGAGAAAGACAGAGAATGAGCAGGGGAGGGGTAGAGAGAGAGGGAGACACAGAATCTGAAGGAAGCTCCAGGCTCCGACCTATCAGCACAGAGCCCGACGGGGGGCTCGAACTCCACAAACCGTGAGATCATGACCTGAGCCAAAGTCAGACGCTTAACCCACTGAGCCACCCAGGCTTCCCTATGAGTTCTTTATATATTTTGGATATTAACCCCTGATCAGTAGATGGAATCCAAATATGTTTTCCTATTCCATAGGCTGCCTTTTCATTTCGTTCTCAGTCTCTTTTGCCGTGTAAAAGCTCTTTAGTCTGACGTCGTCCCATTTGTTGATTTTGCTTTTTGTTACTTGTGTTTTCGGTGTCTATATCCGAAAAACGTTCGCCAAAACCAATGTCAAGGAGCCTTTCCCCTTATGCTTTCCTCTAGCATTTTTACAGCTTCAGGTCTTATATTGAAGTCAACCCATTTCAGGTTAACTTTCATGAGTGATGTAAGATAAGGGAAAGACCTTCACCCAGGGTCAGGGGCATGCTGGAACATTCTGTGACGCTGGGTGTCGTGGTGCAGGGGGCGGGGGGGTGGGGGCAGCTCTGGGCCCACGATGCCTTGTCAGCCCAGGCTACTGGAGTCTTCAACAGCGATAACTGTGTGGTCCTTGAGCAACTGTTGGCGTCCTTGGCTGTGCTTCCAGATCCAGCAGTTAGAGGCCAGGGCAGGTGGCCGCAGCTGGAGCCATGCTGAGCACACCCTCCGTTACAGATGCCCGTGCAGCGGCTGGGGCCAGATGTCATTATACCCATAGCGCTGGGCGCCCGGGCGGCAGGCACGCCGGCAGCTGTGGGGGCCCGGGCTGTCGGCATGTACTCCGGAGGCTGCAGACTCCCACCTGGGGCAGGTGCACAGAAGCAGACAGTGGCCGGGGTGGGGCTGGCAGAAGGCAGGGGTGCGGCTAGAGGGGCTGGTTGCAATGAGCCGAGCGGACTCCATGCGCACACGGCCACAGGTGCACAGCTGGGGAGGCCAGCCTCTCACGGGGGTGGGACCAGCGGCCAGGGTCCAGGCTGGCGTCCTGTACTCGCAGGGCTGCGGAGACTGGGGCCAGCTGCCCATGCGGACCCCGGGCTCTGGCGGGAGCCCCGGAGGAGAAAGGGGCTCCCGGGATTGGTGTCCATAACCGTGAGTGCCAGTGGGGTGAAAACCAGTGGTGGTATCGGCAGGGGGCTGAGGCCACTGGGCTGGGTGTTAGTTTCTTCCGTGGGGGGGCTGCTGGGTCACCTGCACGGTCGCTCCCGCTGTATGGCTCATACCGGCGGCCCCTGCTTTTCTTCTCGGTTCCTAACCGTCTCTGTGCTTCCCAGCCTTAGCAGTCTCTCTGAAGCGGGCCCTCCATGCAGCACCCTGAACGGCTGGGCGAGCTGGTGGCTCGCTCCTCTCTCTCTTTCCCTGTCAAGGGGAACTCTGTCTAGGCGAGGTGTCCCCTCCTGGCTCTGAGCAGGGCCCTCCCAAGGGATGGGGTAATGCAGCCAAAATGAAGCCCTTCTTCCTACCCTCCTTTGAGTGGTTATTCTCGGGGTTTTTGTCCTTCGGTGTTGGTGAAGCTTCTTAAGCAGACCCCTGAAGTCTCCTGGAGCTATTTTGTTTGTGGATACCTGCCCGGGTGTGGCTCTTTATCAGGGGGTCCGAGCCTGGGGTCTTCCATTTCGCCATCTTGGTGAGATGCCGCTCGCAGAGACTGTCTCCTTAACGTCTGTGTCTGAGTCCCCAGATAAGAGAAAAAGTCACGGTCATGACAGGAACACACAGGCTGGATGTGCGTCAAGAGACTGACGAAAGCATAGCGGCTGTTGTGGGTTGGATCAGCTTTATTTTCTTATTTTCTGGATTCTTGGTGCTTGGCCTTTGAGGTCTTGCAGATCCCAAGGTTTGATAATTCTAGAGCTAGCGAGGGACCCCCCACCCCATGAGGGTGCTTTTGATATGCAAGCACACCTGAGCTCCCCCCACCCCAGTCCTCACCACCCCAGACCTAGCATCAGATAATTCAAGACAGCCCCTCAACACCAGAACTTGCTGGAATGGTTCAGACTAGCCAGTCCTGAGCCTGTGTACCCTGCCCAGCCTGCCATAGGAGCCACAACCAAACCTCCCATCTCATTTCCCTTTTCTCTCCTTCCTTTAAAAAAATTTTCTTAATGTTTATTTTTGAGAGAGAAAGTATGTGAACAGGGGAGGGGCAGAGAGGGAAGGAGACACAGAATCCGAAGCAGGCTCCAGGCTCTGAGCTGTCAGCACAGAGCCTGATGCGAGGCTCGAACTCACATGCTGCGAGATCATGACCCGAGCCAAAGCCAGACGCTTAACCAATTGAGCCACCCAGGAGCCCCTCCTTCTGCCTTGAAAGCCACCCGGGGCTTCCCCAGGAGACCCTGTGTGGTGTGGGAAATGTGAATAACAGCCTGTCTCTTTGGTGACAATCACCTTCAGCTCTCCTGACCTTGCCATGCTTGAATAATAACACATCCTGCCTCTTAAGGCCAAGAGACCCTGGGGCGCCTGGGTGGCTTAGTCGGTTAAGCGTCCGACTTTCGCTTAGGTCATGATCTCGCGGTTCGTGGGTTCGAGCCCCGCGTCGGGCTCTTCGCTGACTGCCAGCTCAGAGCCTGGAGCCTGTTTCAGAGTCTGTGTCTCCCTCTCTCTCTGACCCTCCCCTGCTCACGCTGTCTCTCTCTCTCCTAGAAATAAATTAAAAAATATTTAAAAAAAAAAAAAGATCAAAGGACCCTGGACATTTAGCTGAGGCTTCAAGGAGGAGAAACACAGAAGTAGGGCAGGACTCAGGTCTCTGGGCTCCGTCCCCCTTGCTTATTCCTCTGCTGTCCCCAGGGAAGGTCGCGGTGGGGGAGGGGGAAGGGAGGGGCAAGTCTGGGAGGAAAAAGAAAAAGCTCTTCAGAAAAGCACAAGAGATTTATTTCTTGGATTAAAACAGAGTCGTGAAGGGGAAGGCATTGGAGGCGGCGTCTGGGTAAGTGGAGGCGAGGAACAAAGGAACAGTTGACGTATTTCATTGTTTTTATTAAATTGGTGCCGATTATCAGCAATAGCAAGCTCTCATTTAGCATTTCCTGGGAGCCGGGCGCTCTTTTAAGTGCTTTCTGTGTAACAGGGCATTGACTCCATCTAGCAGCCTTAATAAGGTCAGTACTGCCATTATCTCCATCTCAGAGAGAAGGAAATGGACGCAGGTTATATAACCTGCCTGAAGCCACCTGTTAATGCAGGTGGAGGGGCTAGGGTTTCTAAGCCGGGCGGTGGGGAGGCTGCTTCTCAATCACTGTGCCACATGGCCTCTCAAATGATCTCAAGGCAGCCTTGCCGATCCCTGGGAGCCCCCACGGGGGGAGAGCTGCCTATGTCCCGTGCTGTGCGTAGACAGAGCAGAGAACTTTCCAGAAGGCCCTCCTCAGATTTCCTCAGAAGCTGCCCCCGGCTCCCCATCAGTTGCAGAACAGAGGACAGCAGGGCCCCAAGCTGTGGGCCCGGAATCAGACCCACTGGTATTTCTGGGGATTCTTGCTGACCCGGACTAGCCTCACAGCCAAGGACCCAGAGCTGGGCAGCCATGTTGGCGAAACCCTCTCAGGGCTGGTTGGCAGATGATTCGCCGGCCCCGGGAGGGCTCTGCGTGAGTGTCAGGGGGTCCCACCAAGAGTTGTACCTGCACCGTCAATGGGGTGTGTGCGTGTGAGGGTGTGGAGGCAGGAGACCGGAGATGCTTTTGGGTGGTGACGTCTGAGCCCTCCCAGGGCCCGTCATGGGCACTTGACTCTTAGCCCGAGGAGCAAACTCCTCTTTCTTAAATACCAGCGCCCCCTCGTGGGAGCAAGTCTCTACTCAGCCTTCTGGCGTCTTCTGGAATGCCTGACTTCGCAGGGGAGAATACACATCTTGATTTTCACTCACCTCCAACCAAAATCTGCCATTGCCTTTAATGATGAATGCTTGCAACAAATCACAGGAGTGTCAACCAACGGTCCCCGTGACTCAGTCCCCGGCCGATGAACAGGTATTTTATATCGCATTAGAGTTTTTACAGAGAGCTTGAAATACCATTCACGTGTATCGCTACAAAGACCTGATGACAGCCATTGGATCTGCTATGGGGTCGTGTAATTTTGCACATTCATAAGGAAGCACTTGTTACTGGATTTCTGATTTGTTTTTATTTACGTTAAAACTGTAATACGGTAAGGGTGCCTGGGTGGCTCAGTTGGTTGCGTCGGGTGGAGGGTCTGACTCTTGATTTTGGCTCCGGTCACCATCTCGCAGTTTGTGGGATCAAGCCCCTCAGGGCCTATGCTCTGGCAGTGTGGCGGCCCCTTGGGATTCTTTCTCTTCCTCTCTCTCTGCCCCTCATCCTCACACTCTCTCTCTTTCAAATTAAGTAAATAAACTTAAAAAAAAAAAACCTGTACTATAGTAAAATTGTTTTCCTTTGTAATCTTATGGGCTTTACCTTCTGCATTTATTTTTTTTAATTTTTTTTTAAATTTATTTCTAGGAGAGAGAGAGCGAGACAGCGTGAGCAGGGGAGGGTCAGAGAGAGAGGGAGATACAGACTCTGAAATAGGCTCCAGGCTCTGAGCTGTCAGCACAGAGCCCGACGCGGGGCTTGAACCCACGAACCGCGAGATCACGACCTAAGCGAAAGTTGGACGCTTAAGCTACTAAGCCACCCAGGCGCCCCTACCTTTGCATTTAAAACATTATTCTGAATCAGGACGCACAGCCTTCATTGAGCTACCAAAGGGGCCACAATATAAAAATGGTTAAGGAGCCCTGCTTTAGAAAGAACAGGGTTAATCAGATCTGCTGCTGCTGTGGAAGCAGAGGCTACAGACCCAGGGTGCAGTTATGGGATTCAGGACAGCCAGGATCAAGGAAAGTGGGGAAAGAGACCACCATGAAGTCTGCCTTAGACTGATGCACCGTCGACATGATGGTCTGAGATGAGACATCAAACTTGGAATCTCAAAATGCTGTTGGTTTTCGTGCTCAAGGGGCAATGCGGCTCCTCCCAGGTGCCGGCAAATGCTGGCCACGACGTTGCATTTTAAGACAAACTTACGATAACACGATGAGATGGTCTAGTGTCAAACAGAATGAGGTGGAACTACCTTAAGGAGAGACGATGGCTTCCAGAAACACACAACATTGCTGCAAATGTTGATATAAAGAGAAAAGAAAAAAGATCTCTGCCTTTAAAGAACGTCTAAAACTTTTAAAATTGTGAAATGCCACGTGCGTTCATGAAAGGGTGTATAGCACACACGCACAGCTTCATACATAATTAGGAAATGTGTAACTACCACCAAGAAATAAACTAACACGCCTGCCATGGGCTTCTCTCTGATCATAACTCACTTTCCTAGAAGTAACCACTATACCCACTTTGGTAGTTTTAATTTGCTGATTACTAATGAGGTCATGCATCTTATATGTTTATAGGCCATGCTTTTTTTCCCCTATGAAGTGCAAGTTCATGTCTTTTGTCCATTTTCTACTCAGATGTTTTCTTTAACTGACTGACGTATAAAAGCGTCTTATATATTCTGGTTGTTCAATGTCACTTATATGTGTTGGAAGTACATTCTCCACATCTGAGGTTTGGCTTTTCACTTTCCTTATACTGTTATTTAACAGAAACTACTAATTTTAAAGTGGTTTAAATATTTTTTGTTATAAAATTTTTTTAATGTTTATTTATTTTTGAGAGAGAGAGAGACAAAAAAAAATCTTTGGATTGTTTTCTTCCTTCACGATGACTTCACATTGTGCTGTTGTTATCCTAACGTTCTGGCTACGGTCTCTGATACAATGGTGAATAGAAGTGGTAAACTTGCACCCCCTTGGCTTGTACTTGATTCTTAAAAAAAATTTTTTTTGAACATTTATGCATTTTGGAGAGATAGAGAGAGACAGATCACAAGCAGAGGAGGGGCAGAGAGAGAAGGAGACGCAGCATCCGAATCAGGCTCCAGGCTCTGAGCTGTCAGCACAGAGCCTGACGCGGGGCTCGAACCCACAAATTGCGAGATCATGACCTGAGCTGA